TCAGACACTCAGAAGGCTCCTGATGCAGATATGCCTGATGGTTTTCTATCAGCATTGTTGGACAACATGGAGCCCTCAGATAAACAGGATTTCCAGGACTTGGAGAAAGCCCTGATGCGACAGGAACAGCAGGCCGAGCAACAACGTTGGCAAAACATGTGGGATGAGAAGGTTGCAGAACAAAAGGCACCCTGGCAAGACCTTCCAGTGAGTTTCTGAGCTAGGCTTAGACTCAATTGTTGTGATTCAAATGTGACTCAATTGTGACTCAATTGTGATTCGATTGCAGGCCAAAAGAGCGAGGAGAGCTGTGGCAAAAGCCAAAGCAAAGTCAAAACCGTGTGCCAAAGCAAAATGCAAAGGCAAGGGCAAAGGAAAAGGCAAAGGCCGTGGAAAAGGCAATGGGTTTGGAAGAGGCACAGCTTTGGGCTTGCAAGGGCTGGCTCGCAGGCAAGCAGCGTCACGAAAACGCAAGGAGCAGGTGCTCGAACAAATGCCCGGACCAGCAGTGGAAGAAGATCCAGATATCTCTGAACTCAAAGAGGAGTTGGAAAGCCAGCTGTTGGACATGAATGTCATGGACGATCGAACAACTCCTGATTCATTGCCGGCAGAGCCTTGTGTCCATGCTCCCAGTCCAAGAGAGCCCGCCCCCTCACCGGAGCCTTGCGCCCATCCTCCCAGTCCACACACTGGTGAAGGAGAGCCCGCCCCCCCGGCGGAGGAGCCCTGTGTCGATGCTTCCCGTCCACACTCTGTGCTTGGTGGTGCCGGGGTCGCACACGAGGAAACAAAAGTGCAAGCACAGCCATCCAATGGGACCTTGCCGGATCCAATATCCGGGCCAAGGGACAGTGGAATGGCACAGGCCTCGTCCTCGAGCGGATCAGCCCCTGAGCAGGTCCTTGATGATGCTGCACATCGTGGCCAGGCATCGCAACGTGCTCCGCGCGAGCATGGTCCACACTTGAATAACACTCCCGACTTCCTGTCGGAGTTGGATCCACCCGAAGACTTCAAGTTGCGTCTCAGCTTCAACGATCATCGCTTCAAAGCCGAGATCATGACAAAACAGTATGTGTCAAGTGAGGGGAAAAAGTCTTGCAGCAAAAGCTTTGCTAACGACAGATCAGACTGGAAGCAAGCACTGGCTCAAGTGCATCGCTGGGCATGGACAGAGTGGGAGAAGGCCAAACCCGAAAGGCAACTGCCGCCTCATTGTCAGCCTGGTACTATCCCTGAGGCTGTCCTGGAACGCCTTGCCCCGATTATCGACGCAATGCCTTCGCCTACAAAGTATGCCAAGTAGCCTCTTCAGTTTTTTTGTGATAAATACATCACAGGGGAAAACATGTCAGCAGGTAGCAGATTGCTGTCAATGTCATGTATGCAAGTATCGTGTTCTTAGCTTCAAGTCTTCGGTCGATTCAAGAAGTCACAGGGAGTGAGTTCATCCAGCCGAGTCCAATGTGTGTGAATCTGCTCCTGCTGTCATAGCGGCAACATGTTCGATTCACAATTTTGGCTTCAGCTTGTGCGCAGTTGCTGTTCATTCTGTGATTGAGTCTTTACAGTTACGTTGCAATTACAGTTGCTGAATGCCTGAAGTGTGCAATTGAAGATGACATGACATGAATCATGAAGTCTCACCATAGTTATGCTGCAGATTGCTCGGGGAGAAAGCGATCAGCAAAAACAAGCCTTCCTGACATTGTGTCCTGTTAGTTTGTGGAATGTGCTTGATATGCCAGGCAAGCATTGAATCCATTTGTTGCTCAAGTTGGACCAGAGGTATGGTTTAAAGTTATGTGGGACAACAAATCAATGTATTGATGTCAGTGAATCACCAACATGTCCAATTTCCAGTGGCCGTGCCAGCATGTGCTGGGATCATCGCTGGTCTTCAGTGGTAGTGCTGGGCCTGTGAAGCCAGCACGCAAGAAATGCAAAAGGAAAAAGAATGCTGCAGAGTCATTTGAGTTGGGAGGTAGATCAGTGGAGCGCCCGTGTACTCTTCCTGCCTTGAATTTTACCGATACAGTTACAGGAACTGATGAAATTGATGATCGGTTTGACACTTGGGTAGAGGACGTCTTCGAGCAAACATCGCGATTGCAATGTTCGCATTTCCTTCCGTTTGCTTCCTTGTCTTTCTCCCCAAGGCCGGAGTCTGTTCAAAGTGTTATGGGTCACAGATTTTGTTATAATTTGAATTTTTCATTAATTAATGTAATACTACATAAACTTATCATCATCCTCAATTGATCTTGCTGGCCAGGTCCACAGAGCCTTGGTGTCACAGGCTCATGGTTGCAAGGATTTTGGTGCAAAATTTCTTGCGCTACGACCAGGACTTCAATGTGGGCAGAGTGGCCATGAAATGGCATGGGCTGATTGGATTGGCTTATCCCGCATTGAAGAACCGAACCATCGAGTGTCAGCTGATGTGCATCATTAGCCGTAGCTATGACAACAGAGCCAAGATTGAAGCAGCTTCAATCGATGTGGGACCCCATCAATGTGCGGGGTTGCTGCAATACATTGAATACTATGCAGGGAGCGCCAAACTTTCGAAGAAATTGATCGAATCCGGTCTCCGTGGGTGCAGCTTTGACATACTCTACAATGACGAACACAACATGTTGCTAGCGAAAGGGTTGCGTTTGTTTCTGGATGCAGCCACAGCGTGTGAGAAGAAGGCTTTGCATTGGTGGGGCACTCCGTGCTCTTCTTTTGTCATTATGTGCTCATTTCGTTCCCAACGTGCTGAAAGCAACGGCTGGGAAGGCGCATGGACTGAGCGGGACTTTGTATTGCAGGGAAATTGTCAGGCCCTTGTTTGCTCACTTGGGATTTTCCTGGGATGGGCATGTGAGTGCTGCCCTGTGGTGGAACAGCCCCTCAGCTCCTGTATGCCGCACCTCGAGTGTGTCAAAACAGTTCTATCCTTTTGTGGCTTCGAAAAGACTTGCACCTACATGGGTGCCTTTAACGGAAAGTCAGTGAAGCCCTTGCAACTGTGGCATTTGCCTGGGTTTCATTTTGAGAACCTGGCCAGGCCCAAACCAGATCATAATGCTTTCATTGGTCTGGTAAACCGAGGCGAAGACGGCCGTTTCACCGGTGTGCCAGCAGATGTACAGGCTAGTGGGGAATACACTTCGATGTTCGGGGAAGCAGTTGCGCAGATTGTCCGGAATCTATTGTGACGATCCGCTTCGTCAGCCAAAATACGTTTCATAGCTTACTGAGCTGCATGCTTTTTATTATTCAAGCCAATCTGCTGTGACTGGTTTTTGGGGTGTGAATGCTGTGACACAACAGCAACAGCAGGCCATGCAGCAACACAGGTAAAACAGTGCGATGACTGATGAGAAGGTTGCATAACAATTGAGACACAAGTCTGATTTGCTTGCAGCCTTATGTCGATGTGGCTGTCTCAGTGAACACACTTGGAGGAACAGAATTGATATGGCTCTTTCAGTGAATGAGTATGCGCCGGCAAATCAGGGCCTTGGACGTCGTTCTTGCCTTCTTTGCCCCACTTGAGGAGGATTCCTCAAGATTTCCTCAATTCGAATCGTCAACCTTGCCAAGCAATGCCATGCTGACTCAAGATTTCCTCAACCTTGCAGCAACCTGTTTAAGTTGACAGGTTGTTCTGAGCAGTGTGAGGAAACAATAGATGCCATCCACTGTGACCTTGCCCGATGTGCCCATGTCGGTGCAAGGGGTCAGTGGCATGGCACAAGTGAACACACTTGAGGAACAATTTCTTGTTGACAATTTGGGAGTCACACCTTTGCAGCTTCTGCCGGCTCTTGCACAGACGTCCTCAGCCTTGCGAAAACCTGTTGGTGTTGCCGGGCTCTCACCCGAAGAGCCATCAAGTTTCCTTGCTTGGGGACACAAAGGCCAGCCATCTAGTGTGACCTTGCCCGACGTGCCAATGTCGGTGCAAGGAGTCACTGGAATGGCACAGCTTCCGGTTGCTCTGTTCACACACCGGCTTGGACAGAAATAATACTACATTTTTTCATGGTTTTCTCAACAATTTTCAGTGTCTGCAAATCTCCAGTTACATTAATTCTGGACAAACCTACCGTGTCGTAACGTATCCAATAAGTCTTTGTTCAGGTTGACTTCTGATTTTGATAACTTTGGTTTTTGCCAAGCCCACTGATCCAGCCCCCGCGGATCCAACCCTACAAACGAGCATATTGATTAACATACATGTATGGCGCGCAGTACGCATCCGGCCCTTTCCCCAAAGCCTTCAGTCAAGATCTCATCTCATCACCTTCAGGCCCTCGCCCCGGGATGCCCTGGGGCTCCAGCGAATGAATGACACATTGACATCAGTTGATATGCCTCGGACTTTCCGGTGGCCACACTATACATTGAGTCACAGCTCCTCGAGCTTCACAGCACATGCATTGCAGGTTGTAGTGGTGGGGCTCTCTGGTTCAGACCATCGCATCGCGGCCCCCCTAACCACAGTTTATTGAAGATGGAACAGTTTGGTTTGGTGCAATGGTCGCGCATGCTGGCGTGTAAACTTACAGGGTTTGCAGCGTAGGCGCCCCCGTCTCTACAATGCCTCCCTCCCACTCCCCGCGTCATAGCGTTGCAGAGGGACGGTGATGACCCCACGTTTGGAGCTCGCCAGGAGCCCCCCGGAACCGGAACACGCCCTGCGCCCTCCTCCCTGGTCCCTCCTCCCTCCTCCTTCCTCCTCTCTCTGCTCGTCTTCGTCTTAGTCGCCCTCCTCTTCAGCTCTCACCTGCACGGGGCTTTGGCGACTTCGGAGCAACGGATGAGCGGGAGACAACATGGGTGCCTTTTAGATGACGTCTCTCTCTGTCTCTCTCTCTCTCTCTCTCCTTCTCCTCAGCTCGCTTAACTCCGCTGCTCAGCCGCTGCTCCACTCGAAAATGTCAACCTTGCCACTGTTCCGCTGTGTGTGTGTGGGGGAACGACTACCGACATCCCTTTGCAAGGTTCGGAACTGCCGACCTGTCTTCCAGCACAGCAGGGATGAAGAGGACTGACGACGTCTTACATGATGCCTTGAGCGATGCCGGGGTTGGGTGCTACTGGGTCAGTAGACGTGACCCCCCGTCATACAATGCAGAGGGCGCATTTAGGACTGACATCCAGCCTTGCACCAACCCTGGGGGCCCTACACCCTGAGATCATCAACTTCTGTAAGGGGGGCAAGAATGAACTCTTTACACCTATTCAACACGAGTCAGAAAGGTACTATGGCCACGATCTCAAAGCCAGCCGTGCATCACTGCAAGCAGTTGCGCTTCTAGCCACAATGGTGCCGGAAGCGAGGTTTTATGGCGACCGTGCTCATGGATACTCGTAATTAACACCCTGAATCCGCAATTCTAGTCCTGCGGAGAGAAAGGAGGCTTCAGAAACAGAAGCATTCCAGCCCCGAAGCCTTGAATCCTGCGCTCCACATCGTTTCCTAGACGCTACTGTTGGAGAAGGAGGGAAGCAAGCGTGCGGTTCTTGAGCGTTAAGTCCTCGGAGCCTTTCGCTGCTAGCTCTGAGGAAGCCTCCCGAGCCCAGCATCTCCCCCGCTCGGCTACGGCGATGCTGGCGATTCTTGCTTCAGGAAGTAAGGTATGCGTAGCACATCTTATCTAGAAGGATCCTAATGCACAGCACACGAGGAGGCCGTGGGAGGGATTCCGTGGATTGTTTTGACGTATCCGATTGGTATGTGGGGTTGATTGGGGTTGTGGGTCTGCATCATCGCAAGCTTGGAAGTCCCAACTTCAGCAAGGAGGGAAATAAGCAAGGCATATACTGCAACAGAATCCTCCCTATAGTTTTGTTCCAGACGCCATTTCTATGTCTGTATCGATATCTGCTATACCCATATCTAAATCTATACCTATGTACCTGTGATGTATATGTTTAGATGCATACACATACATGTATCTATGTATACACGCCTGTGTGTAGATGTGTTTCTGTGTAGCTAGTATTATTTACATGTAGATGTACAAATGTATGCACGTATGTATGTACATACAGACATACATGCAGACATACAGACAGACAGACATACATCTACATACATATACCTACATATACATACATATTATGTACACCTACATGTTTTCCCGAGACGGCACGAGTCAAACTGAATCATATCGACCAATGGAAGGGAGCAGCAGCCACTGTTCTCTCGATTTCTGCATGTCACCCAAGCCTGACGCTGGGGAGTTCGGCTTAGGCCTCCGAGCAGTTTCCTGTCGAAGTTCGCAGTTTACATTGTAGGCCTTTGCCGCTTGTTTCCTTGTCATGCCGGCAGTGGACGCAACGGCGCACGAAGCTCCCTGTCGTGTTCCGTCGGTAATCTAGGTGAGGTGTGGCAGCACCATCTTGGGTTGACCCGTCTTTTGCAATCTTCCCGTGGCGGAAGTTCGTTCCTTCGACACGACCCGCCAGGGCACAAACTGCCCCTGGCAACGTTGGTGCATGCCTCGGTTCTGATGCTCCTGGCATGCTTGTAGTTGTAGTTGGAGCAGCTTTAAGCACATGTGGTACAGCACAGTGTTGCGTATGAACACTTGGGTGCCTGTAGGCTTCATGGTCGCCTTTGTGGTCGTCAGCAGTCCTGATCCGTGACCACTCATGGTCATGGTGAACGAGTCCTGTCTGTCGATGTCAAGACAGTTATCACCGCAATGATGACGGCGAGATGGTGATGCCGTTAGATAATGGTAATGGGTCATGCTTGCTGTGGTAGTGGGGGCGGTGGCGACAGCGTTGCTAGTCTTGATGTTTCTCCTGCTGCTGATCATGAAAAATATGACGGTAATGATGATGACGGAGAAGCAGTCAGACGAGTCCGAAGAAGGGGGAAGGGGAAGGGATAGCAAAGATGGGGACGGTCATGATGGTTGTCGTGGTGGTGATGATGGTGATGAGGAGGATGACGGTGATGGTGACGTTCATGGTGATGGTGGATCTTGCTGCTGCTGGTCCGGGTATTCGTCATGCTGCGAGTACTGTGGTGGTTGTTATGCTCTACTGTCGGTCATCGTGGTCGTGGTGCTGGTGCTGGTGGTGATGTGGATGGTGAAGGAGATGGTCAGGTGGTGTCGAAGGTGGCATGGGCTCTGGCACTCAACGATTGCCTGCGGCAGCGAGACTTCAACTCAGTGCAGTGCTCACAGGCCAGACGCCAAAGCTGCAGGGTGCTGAGACTGCATCCGACTTCTGGCACATGAGCTGATGCTGGATCTTCGATGCTCCCGCAGTTTGATGAAAGCTGTCCCAGCCGGATCCGGATAGACAAAGAAGCCATGGCCCGAGCGCAACTCGGTTACCGCTTTACTTTCATTGACATGGTGGAGGAGAGCAAGACGGACGGTGAGGCTCGCCGCACTCGTGCCCGCAGCCTTCCCCCTGTCCGGGCATCCGTGACAGTCTCGGAGACTCTCTTCGTAGATGCATGGGCGCGTCTTCATCTTCGCACTCTCCGACAAGGGCAGGATGCAACAGTCTTCGGCGCACCCAGACCGAACCGCGGCAGTGTGAAACACCCAACACTGTGCAGCCGCCCATGCATCTACGTGGCAAAGCAGGGTTGGTGCCAGAAAGGTGAGGCGTGTGGCTTTTGCCACCATCATCACAACGACCCGAAGCCCGACAAGCAGCAGCGACGCTTGATGAGCACGATGGCTAGGGCAGAGCTACTGGGCCTTCTCGTAGAGCTACTTCGGGATCGTGCGGAGCAAGATGGACTCCATGATGTGGGTTTCGTGGTGGCGGCTCCTAGGTCGATTAGCGGGGCTTGCCTGGCATCGTAGGCGTGCTGTAATGTGTGAGCTGGTGCCGACGGTGCTGACGAGGTGGTGGCTGTCCAGGCTGGACTTCGTCCACGCAGCTTCCAGACGAAGTCTCGCAAGCTTTCCAACTTGCGCCAGGTGCCACACAAGAGTTGGCCGAGGGAGAGTAGTTTCTAAGCTTGAGCTGTTCGCGGCTGTGTGCTCGAGCATGTTTGGGGAACGGGAGAACCTAAGACTGTGAAGGTCTTGACCTTTCGGTTCCAGACGCCAGGTGATACAGCGCATGAACTTCTCCGCTATGCTCTCGATGGCTGCAAATCACTGTGAGGGTCGCAGCAAAGCTTCTATTCTGCAGGAGCTGAGGGTTCTGCGAAACAGTGCTAGGTGAGCTTTCAAAGCACTGGAGTAGAACTCTTAGAACCATGCAAAGCCTGCGGCGAATTTGCCTTTCCTGCCCCTGTGTCGTTGTGTCGCTGGGTTTCTGCGAAGGCAGACTCCACAGAAACGAGCGCTGCCATTGGCTTCACTGTAGACACAGGCAGCAGCGTGTTGGGTCGCTCACAGTTGTGCCCTAGTCGGACCATTCTTAACAATAACTGCCAGGCAAAATCTGCTTCCGATCTGCAAATTTAGAAGGTCCGTTTGTGAGGCACGTGTGGTCGCTCTTGCTGGGTTCGGACTATGCAGCAGTCGAAGATTGGCTGTTCCTCCTTGCAGCGATCAGTTGGTTTCGTCAATGCTTCTTTCACAGAGGCCAGGTGAAGCCCTTGATTTGTCGAGGCTTCTTCACATTGGCATAGGTGCTCCAGTAGAACTCTGGTGGCCATTCTTCTGTTCCGAGTGGAGCGCACTGATGCCTGTCTTCACTGATGCCGCCTTGCTTCGATCTGGTCTTGGCCATGTTTTTTTCCTAGCGCTGACCATTTACAGCTAGGAATCTGATTCTGAGTTTGCTGGCTGGCTGCCGTCAGGAACCATGACGAGCTTGCCCGCCGCTCTTTGTATGTTTGCATGCTAGCACCGCTGTGCTTCTTTGCCAGAGGCATTTCCTTCCTTTCTTCGAGTTCTGTGCAGGCGAAGTCGCAGCTTGCTCTTCGTAAGTAACCTAGCAGTGTAGGTCTTGAGGAGCCATAGTTGGCAGCATCTATTCATTCGCAAAGCTGCACGAGCACCAAGCAAGAGTTCCGTCTGCGGAACTAGGAAGGCTTCCAAACACCGCGGCTGAATTTTCGAGAACTAGACATGCCCTGAACACTACTGCACTGCGGATCAACGTCTGGTGAAGCCTTTTTGATCAAGATCATCTGCTGCCCAGGGAGGCTGCGCTGTCGGGGTGATCGAAGGCTAGGAGCTTTCGACATAGTTTCTGACAAGGATCCTCCGAAGCGGGCGAAGAGCGAGAGAAATGGTGCCTACGGTGTCTTGTTGGCCAGAAGGCACTCCGACCATCGAAGTTTCGTGAGTCCGCGTCGGCATGACAGCTGAGGATGGGGATGGACTCTCGCCTGAGAGCCATATCTGCCGTGCACAAGGCACCGGCTATCGGCTGGTGTAAAATGCTGTCCGCTAAAGTCTCTTAGGCTCCTCTCTTCCTTGGAGCGTTCCGCAGATTCCTTTTTCTGTGTTTGCTTTGTGGGATGGGGCATGGGGGTCGGCCTTCCCTCTCGTCCCACACGCATAGTACGACCCCTTTCTTGCTGAGAAGTTTTGTACAGATTAAGACTCATTCTTTGAGCTGAAGGTTTCGGCTGGCAGTGTGCGTGACCTCTTAGGGGCTTGTGCCTGCAGTCCCGCAGGCGTCCGAGACAGTCGCGGTCGACACATCCCAAGACGTTGGCAAATTGCAGGCGCCCGCTAAGCCTCACGTGGTGAAAGCAGGCATCAGTAGGCTAATTCCAAATGCAGTAAATTGCTGCAACTTACTTTCCAGCTAAAGATTGTCCTTATTCGAGATCTTCCATCATCCAAGTACCCTGCCCGCAGCTTTGCAGACTTCGACCTTGTGGAGCCGTTCTTTTCCGAAACAAAATGTGAGACTGGCAACATCTGGCAACTTCAGCCTTTCACGTTTGGCGACGCCTTTCGGATCACAGCTCCTCTCGCAAGCTTTGCGCCCAACTCACGCCGTGCAGCTTGGATAGACTGTTTATGGTGCTTTGTTACATTTGGTGTCGTTGACTTGCCGGTTGTGCAGGTAGCGGCGCTGGTGTTGTTGTTGCTGCAGCTGCTGTTGCCGTGTGCGCTGCGTTGTGGTTGCTGTTGCTGCTCTTCTTCTTCTTCTTCTTCTTCTTCTTCTTCTTCTTGTATTTCTTGTTCTTAGTCTGGTTATGGTTCTTGTTGTTGTTGGTGGTAGTGGTGGTGGCATTGGACTTTGCTGTTGTCGGTTGTGTTGTAGCTACTGTGATTGTTGTTGGTTGTGGCTGCTGCTGTTGTGGTTGCTGCCGCTGCTGCCGCCACTGCCGCTGTTGCTGCCGCTGCCGCTGTTGCTGTTGCTACGGCTGCTGCTTGCTGCTGCTGCTGCTGCTGCCGCTACCACAGCTCCTGGTGTTGGCGTTGGCATTGGCAGTGTTGTGGTTGTTGTTGTGGAGGTGGTCGTGGTGGTGGTTGTTGCTATTGTGATTGTTGTTGTGGTTGTCGTTGTCCTTGTCGTTGTCGTTGTTGCTGCTGCTACTGTTGCTGTTGTGGTCGTTGGCATTGTCGCTGTTGTTGCTCCTCCTGCTGTGGTTGTTGCTGCCGCTGCTGGTGTTGCTGCTGTTGTTGCTCCTGTTGTTGTTGCTGCTGCTCCTGCTGGTGGGGCGAGTGGTGGTGAGGTGGTTGTGGTTGTTCCCCACATCACTGTGGGGTTTTTATTTTTGCGCTGCACCGCGCCCGCTTCCGTCATGCTCACGCCCACACACACGGCACACACAACACCACACACAACACACACACACACAACACACACACAAACACACACAACACACACACACACAAACACACACAACAACACACACAACAACAACACACAACAACACACACAACAACACACACAACAACACACACAACAACACACACAACAACACATACAACAACACACACAACAACACACACAACACACACAACAACACACACAACAACACACACAACAACACACACAACAACACACACGACACACACAACACACACACACACACACAACACACACACACACACACACAACACGCACAACAACACACTCCTCCGAGGGCTCTCGGAGGCTCTTGGAGGGCTCTTGTTGGATCATACGCGCGCTAAAGGGGTCCTGCACTTAGGAAGAGTCTCCCGCGACTCAAATCCTCTCCTCCGAGGGCTCTCGGAGGCTCTTGGAGGGCTCTTGTTGGATCAGGCGCGCGCTAAAGGGGTCCTGCACTTACGAAGAGTCTCCCGCGACTCAAATCCTCTCTTCCGAGGGCTCTCGGGCGCTCTTGGAGGGCTCTTGTTGGAGCATGCGCGCGCTAAAAGGGTCCTGCACTTAGGAAGAGTCTCCCGCGACTCAAATCCTCTCCTCCGAGGGCTCTCGGAGGCTCTTGGAGGGCTCTTGTTGGATCATGCGCGCGCTAAAGGGGTCCTGCACTTAGGAAGAGTCTTCCGCGACTAGAATCCTCTCCTCGAGGGCTCTCGGAGGCTCTTGGAGGGCTCTTGTTGGATCATGCGCGCGCTAAAGGGGTCCTGCACTTAGGAAGAGTCTCCCGCGACTCAAATCCTCTCCGCCGAGGGCTCTCGGAGGCTCTTGGAGGGCTCTTGTTGGATCATGCGCGCGCTAAAGGGGTCCTGCACTTAGGAAGAGTCTCCCGCGACTCAAATCGAGGCTCTCGGACGGCTCTTGTTGGATCATGCGCGCGCTAAAGGGGTCCTGCACTTAGGAAGAGTCTCCCGCGACTCAAATCCTCTCCTCCGAGGTCTCTCCGAGGCTCTTGGAGGGCTCTTGTTGGATCATGCGCGCGCTAAAGGGGTCCTGCTCTTATGAAGAGTCCTCTGCTCGGAGGGCTCTCCGAGGCTCTTGGAGGGCTCTTGTTGGATCATGCGCGCGCTAAAGGGGTCCTGCTCTTGTGAAGAGTCTCCCGCGACTAAAATCCTCTCCTCTCAATGCCTCGTTTCGGCTCCTGGCTGGATTGTGCTCGCTTGTAGTACAACTTTAATACTGGAAATGCCTCGTTTCGGCTCCTGGCTGGATTGTGCTCGCTTGTAGTACAACTTTATCGTTTCGGCTCCTGGCTGGATTGTGCTCGCTTGTAGTACAACTTTAGTACTGGAAATGCATCGTTTCGGCTCCTGGCTGGATTGTGCTCGCTTGTAGTACAACTTTAGTACTGGAAATGCCTCGTTTCGGCTCCTGGCTGGATTGTGCTCGCTTGTAGTACAACTTTAGTACTGGAAATGCCTCGTTTCGGCTCCTGGCTGGATTGTGCTCGCTTGTTGTGCAAAATGACGTTATCGTTTTTTCCTCCTTATCGTTTTACAAGTCAAACGCATCGTCGCGAACACCGCGGGCAAGTGCTTACATAAATCGACCACGCGGGGTTATTATACAACCCCAACTGGAGCTAGCGAAAGAGCTATATACAGCTAGAGCTAAAGTCTGGAGCTGGAGCTAGGGAGAAAGCTACAACTAGAGCTGGGGCTGGGGCAGGAGCTGGAACTAGAGCTACAGCTAGGGCGAGAGCTACGAGTAGAGTTGGAGCTGGAGCTAGAGCTAGGGAGAGAGCTACAAGTAGAGCAGGAGCTGGAACTAGAGCTAGAGCTAGAGCTAGGGAGCTACAACTAGAGCTACAGCTTGAGCTGGAAGTAGAGCTAGAGCTAGGGAGAGAGCTGCAACTAGAGCTACAGCTGGAGCTAGAGCTGGAGCTAGCCAGAGCCAGGGAAAGAGCTACAACTAGAGCTAGAGCCTAGAGCCAGGGAGAGAGGAGAGAGCTACAACTAGAGCTGGAGCTAGAGCAGGAGCTGGAGCTAGAGCTCGGGAGAGAGCTGGAGCTAGAGCTGGAGCTCGGGAAAAAGCTACAACTAGAGCTTGAGCTGGAGCTACAGCTCGGGAGAGAGCTACACCTAGAGTTACAGCTGGGGCTAGAGCCAGAGTCAGGGAAAGAGCTACAACTAGAGCTAGAGCTCGGGAGACAGCTAGAGCTAGAGCTCGGGAGACAGCTACAACTAGAGTTGGAGCTTGAACTAAAGCTCGGGACAGAGCTACAACTAGAGCTCGAGCTAGACCTCGGGACAGAGCTACAACTAGCGCTGGAGCTGGAGAGGTGGGCGAGAGCTGGAGAGGTGGGCGAGAGCTGGAAAGAGCTACAACTATATAGAGCTGGAGCAGGAGCTGGAGCTAGAGCTAGAGCTCAAAAAAAAGTTACAACTAGAGCGAGAGCTGGAGCTAGAGCCGGAGCAGGAGCTAGAGCGCGGGAGAGAGTTGCTGCTGCTGCTGCTGCTGCAGCTGCTGCCGCCGCTGCCGCCGCCGCCGCTGCTGAGCCGCGACCGCTACTGCTGCTTGTTTTGGGTTGTTGGTGTGGTTGATGTCGCGGTTGCTACTTTTCGGCTTTCCGGTTGAGCCGTGGGAGGTTAATGTAAGAAGCCACTGTGGCGGCAGATTTATCGATCGACGCAGAACCTTTTCGTCACACTTGCTTCTTACGTCCTGGAGTGAAAGCTTTCAGCCAGATTGAACTTCCTTTGCGAGGTTTGCAAATATGGGCGGCGGCAACGGCCAGAAGTCCGCAACAGCTCGCGCACGCAAGCAGGCGGAGAAGGACGCAGAGAAGGCCACGGACGGCAGTTTTGGGCCTAAGCGCTCCAGCATACTTGGAGGGCTAACCGGCTAACCGGTGTCTGTAGAGCAGATATAGACAGCCTCACCGAAGACCGGAAGAAGTGAACACCCGCCGAGAAGTGCATTTATTCCTCCATGTCTCCATAAGATTTGAGGAGAGAGACAGAGACAGCGAGAAGGACCAGACTTTTCAGTCTGGGAGCACCCCAACACCAGACTCAGTCACTCGACACTCGGACGAACAGACACCAGACCGACGGGCTGGCGCGCAGCAGAGTCGGCAAGCAAGCGCGCGAGCGATAATAATTAGTGGGTCAGAAAAGAAAACAAGTCTTCGGCACCGTGACCCAAAACTCCCCAGAGCCGCGACCAGGGCGGTGGCGGCGGCAAGGATGGGTCGGCATCCCAGATCTGATCATTATCGCATCGCCTGTGGGGCCAGGCGGAGACGTCCGTAAGTGCATGGTTTGATTGACGTAGTGAATTGCCGGCCCCCAGGTTATCATTCACATCGTCATCATCGAAAGCAGCAACTGAAGCAGCGTGTTGCAGAAAAGAGCCGTCGCTAACATCATTGCCAGCACCAGCACCAGCACAACCGCCTGCAGCACCACCATCCTCCTCCTCCTCCTCCTCGTAAACAGCTCGGTGTGCATATCTTTCAGCATAAGAATAAAGAGTCTTTTCTGAGTTCAAACGGCCAGGACTCCTGCAGACATCCGCTTAACCCATGGAATGATGACGGGCATCGCACCGAAGTTCTGAAGCCTCAGGATCAAGTCCCGAGCGGCAGCCATGGATCTCAAGTGCTTCTTGGAGGATTACTGGGACTAGAGCCGTAACCTGCCCAACAGTATCCGTGACGTTGTTCAGGTCACGGTTGCGAAGTATGGCTGTTGCTACTATGGGCCTTTTGCTTTCGTGTGCCTTTTTCTGTGATGGCCCTCGAACGAGGTCTCAAGGCTAAAACCTACGTACCATGAGGGCAGCAGCGACCCTACGAACAGGATCAGCACTGCTGGTACTGAGAAGAATAAAGCTGTGATTGAACACTGAGTAGCTTTTGCTGCCAGGGGTGTGATCTTAAGGTAGTTGCAGGCTTTCAGAAGGTGCAAGATGTTGTTTGCTTCATTTTCTGGTGTTTCCTGGTACCCTGCGTAGCACGGCATAGATGCCGGAGCCCGAAGCTCTAAATCCCGCGGTCAATAAAGCAACACATAGAATCCCTACAACAGTACCTTTCCAGGCCCGGTGTTGAACCACGACGGACATTGCCCCGAAAGCACTGCGTCTCCCCGACCTAGGCTCCGTGTGCATGCAGTGCTTTCCGAACACCCAGGTCAAGGCTGCACAGGCCTTTCGTTTTCGACTTTATGGGCTGGAGGGTTTAGGGCTCAGAGGTTCAAGGTGTAAGGTGTGGAGATTTGGGTCTGGAACAACTGTGCTGCTACGCCTTGCGATGGCCTCCTTACAGGGCAGCACAGCAAGCGGCATCAGACGTCTCATACACCTGTCCCTTCTTTCAGCGGGGGATCCTTGCCCGGCTGTGCACGAGTCTATTCAAAGGCTCCTATCAGCAGCGGCAACAGGCAAAAGGCTTTGTGTTGCCAATAGCAGTGCACTTCATCAACAACGGCAGCGCCATCATGTCGTTAAACGGGCAGGCGCGAACCACAACAGGCAGGTAGCACCAAGGCACTCAATCATCAAGCTTCCTTTGTCTGTATCGCAGAGATGCATGCTTCCTGCAACCGGGTGCCCGCTTGTCATGCAGGCTCAATGCCACTAGTCACTATGGACCAACTTTTGCGGAATGCGACCCGGAAGAAGGTGTGAGGAAGCGGAAGCAAACAGGCAAGAAGCCATAGCTCAACATATTGGAAGACTGGTAGACCGAACGATTATGATCTTTTTGTATACCGAGGTAAACCAACCGCCCGCGATGAATGGATGGTGGTATCAGCTTGCAGTACAAACGGTGCTGAGTGTTGCTTTGCATGACGTCGCGTTGACATAGAACCTGCCCTGTAATTGGTTTGCAAAAAAAGTAGGGAGCTGATCTGCAGAGCATAGCTTTGTTCCTTGAGTGTACCGGCTGACACGTTTGGTTGCTAGTCAGTCTTGATTTCAGCGCCTGTAACACGATATCCTGTCGCTGCATGTCAAATTCAGTGTCGTACCATGCTTCCGGCGTTTGCAAGGAATACTAGGGCACTTGAGATGCAAACTGACACACAGACAGAGCATCATCATCAGCAGCAGTAGCAGCAACTGATGCATCAGACGCAGTGCCCAGTGCGTGCTTCGAGTTACATACATAGCTGTGTACATACGGAAACGCAGGCCCACGTGGAATCGAAGCACCCGAAGTCCGACTTTGCCACTTGCTTTCCAATGGCGAGCGCTTAGGCGCGGCTTTGGGAAGGGAACTGGGAGTTTGGGAAGGTGTGCAGGGTGTCCCGGTACGGGGCTTTGGAAAGAGGGAGTGGCCCCACGGGGAAAAAGGTTAAGTCTCTGGTTGTTATGTCACTCCTGCGCCTACAGTTGACTGTACTTTCGCTAGGGATTCATTGAGGTCTGAGCAGGCAAAGCCGAAAACATGAGTGAACACCCGAGTCGCTCCAAACATCGGGCCGAGATGTTGTAAACTTTGTAAACCAGCATCGTAGCATGGAAACCACCCTTCACGTGCAACAACCCAGCGGCCGCAAGCTCGCTGCGCAGGCAAAGGATCACATGATGCAGGAGCTCTGCCTGACCCTGCGGAATCTGGATTGTTGCAGTTCACTGTAGTGCCTTCTTGAACAAGGAACACAGGTAGGCGAAGAGCCGAAAGAGCAAAGGTTCTGTCAAGGCGAACAGCAATCCAGTAATTCATTTTTGTGCTCAGATGCAGTACTTTTCCTGTGGAAGTCCTCGGTCAATGATGTTCGAAATTATCCTGCAGCCCAACCAGTAATACGTACCAATTATGGTTTGGGGGGCGTTTGCTTGCAGTACGTCACCACGGCATTAAGCAAACAGCTCGATAGCAATTCAGCAAGAGCCAGGGCCGAAGAACTTGCGCCGACAACCATGGTACATGCTAAGCCCCACTATTGGGAGTTGGTCGACGTCTCCTTCCACGTTTCTTCACACAGATGATGTTGTTCATGGTTCAGCTTGCTCGTTTGATTTGTCGCGAAGCACGAGAACGAGGTGCAAGTGGCGAGATAACGGAAGTGTTGATAGTTGATGGCGGTGTGCTGACATGAAGAAGCAAATGAAGTTGATGATGATGATGATGATGACAGTCATTGTGCTGAGGCCGATAATGAGTGTGATGAGGAGCACAATCATGGTGGAGGTACCGTATGTGGAGGTAGAGGTGGTGGTGTTGATGGTGATAGCAGGTAGCGGTTGACGACGGTGAGTGCTATCAGTTACAATTACGTACGGTTGGCGTTCTTGTGATTGTCATGCTGCTGCGGGAAGACCATAGGAGGTGCTAGCAGCAGTAGCAGCTCAATAGCAACATCACAAACAACAAGAGCAAGATGAGCAGCAAGAGCATTTGCCATGGCAGGTTTTTCAAGCCAAGCTGTATTGCAGCCTGCCTACTGGCACAGTGGAGAGACGATGCAGGAGCAACCCCCAATGGCAATCGCCAAAAATCTTGGCGACTGGTCCATGCAGTGGGCATTTCGAGTTCAGTCGGTCACCACTTCTCGTCCCTTCGCGCGAAGTTGTTTACGAAACATGGGTGCTAACAGCATTCTGCAAGAAGCACTAAGTTCTTGATGTCCACCCACAGGTCTACGCAGTGCCGCGTGTGAAGTTCACATACATAGCCAGACATGTCAGGTCCAATTATCAGAGATGCGCTTGGTTTTTAATACTGTCACTGAGAGCAAATAAGGTTGACCGATATATGTGTGTGTGTGTCGTGTGTGTAGAGGGAGACGTGTATGCACACTTGTATCTATGCGCACTGGACCTATGTCCTCCTGGAGGTGCTTACATATACACGGACATGCAGGCAAACATGCACACCTGCACGACACATGCATGCATACACAAGTTTATGAGCGGATTGATGAACATGGATATGTATGTACGTCTACATCTGTGTGTGTGTGTGTGTGCGCAGACGTGCTCTTGTACGGTGGGTCTACCTGTGTGCGAGGACGCATACATGTGCATGTTTAAGCAGTGACAGCCGATGCTCTTGCACGTATACTCATCTCCCGCCGGTCACCACGTCCGCACAGACCTGCATCTCTGTATATCTCTGGGAACCTAATGGCAAGGACAACGTAAGAGCAATTGCTTCAGTTTGACTCAGTTTGACAAGATGCAAAAGCAGAGGGACTAGTCTTCCAGCGCGTGATGTGTTCTGTTAGGGGCAGTACCGAATTATGGCCCGCACATCAGTATCAACGTGCTATCGTGATCTGTGAACTTGTTGAACGGGCCCAAATTGGAGAACTGCCCTGCCGGTGCCACTAGCTGATTCGTGAGCGACCTTGACCAAAGACTACTTGAAGCTTTTGCCAAAAAGTCTACACAGTATGCATGCAGGCGGGAGGTACTCCAGTACAGAATTGCACTGAGCATGGCTCTACGGCTGCAGGAGCAGAGCAGCTTCATGGCAGTAGCCATTCGACAGCCTAAGCAGCGATCGACTCGAACGTTTCTTTGCCTTCCGGAAGGCTACAGCCGACAACATGCTTCACACCAAGCGCGGTGTTTATGGTCTTTGGCTTAGGTCCCCGGGAGTGATACACGTACGGTCCGGCAGGTTCCCTGAAACTCTGAGTCTCGAGGTGGGCGGCCCACGTCTCCAAAGAGCCCAAGTCCAAGTGCACCAGGCCAGGCAGAGAGAAGCTGAGAAGCTCTCTCCTCGTTCTGGCAGAATTCTGAAAGACTGATCAAGCTGCTCGGCCGGCAGGGAGCCCGACGGAGCGTGAAAGCAAGGCAGGGAGTGTACGATCTCCAGGAGATGAGGATCCTTAAGCTCGAAATTCGTAAGTGCAAGCCGCACGACACCGACGAGGTGGCCGGGACGCATCAAACATTGGTGCTCTAACTTCGAAAATTTGGCAAAACTTGTGATTCGTCATGGAGCCTGACTAAACCCTCTTTGGGACAGTGTTGAAGCATCGGTTATCGGTCGAGCCGCTAAACTGTTGCAGGAGGAGGCAGGTATTTGCTCTCAGGCATTGGGCATTGCGGTATGCCAGAAACCTTCCCATGCCTCTCATCTCGGGAAGGGTTTTGGATGGCGGAGTTTTTTGTTTTGCTTCACCTGGGCATCATGCTGTGCTAGCACGAAAGTGGAAGTGCTGCCTGATCGATCTTTGCAGTGCTGTCGCAAAATGATGTTGCATTTATGCAACTGAAGCATTTTCGGATCTGCCTCGGTGCTCAGGTACGTTGTTTCCTAGAACACCTCCGTTTTCAGAGGGGCCCCAAGTTAAACTTCCTAAGCGTTTATCCATGCGGTTCGTTCTTCTCCGGCTGCATCGGCTGTTTGCGTTGCCGTCGAAGCCCTCGACCCTGAAGCGTGGAAGACACGGAAGGTCAAAAGAACCTCCGCCCGGCCACTTTCTCGCGAGGCGCAGCAGGCCAGAAGCTCCACAGGATTTGGCCAGTGACGTCTCCAAAACATTAAACAAACGGGGTTCAAGACAAGAACAGCATTTAGCAACTCGAGCCTGCTCTCATTACACAGCGACGTCAAAGGCCTCTCATCGTCTTTTGAGTGGTTGGTAATGCGACCTGAACTTCTGAGCTCAAGGGACAGAGAGCATTTCTTTTTGCTTGGAGGTTCAAAATGGGTGTTTTGAGCTGGGGCCGAAGACGCCAGCAGTGGGTTTTGCGACGCTTGCAAGCCAACGAATGATCTTGAAAACGGCAGAGGTCCGCCAAAGGCGACAGTCAGCGACTTTGGCAAACATGAAGCAGGCCAAAGTTTCAGATTGGTGATTGTTGCATGGATGAACGCTTGAGTAAACTGCTGGGACAGCATTGGGCTGGGATTTGCAATGCCCATGACTTAGCGAAAATTCGATTCTGAAAGCTGTTGACATCCAAGCAAGCGGTGTGCAGCTGCGTTGGCACCGCTGCCATCTCTCTGCCAGGCCTTCCAGCTGGAGGAGCTCGGCATTGCATGTCAACGTGCCAGACATAGCATTCAGGCATTGGGCTGCAAAGATATCTCTTTGAGAAATACAAGCCTGGAGAGGACTCCCGCCAGCAGATGAAGTTCGCCTTTCCAGATGAGGATGAGGCCTTGGACTTCGGACTTCGTGCAGGTAATGAACAAGAAAGGTAGAACCATGTACAAATCTTTTGCCTTCAAAGCCGTCTGTTGCAAGGCGGCTCTTATACAGGGAGCAATAGGACAGAAATAGGACGTCTCTGCATGCCGCATGCCGCAGGTCCTCTCCATGTCGCCGCCTGACTCGCCCTCGAAGCTTGTCTGCCGACGTGTAACGTTGAAAAGCAAATATGGCAACACCGATCCTATGCAAGTGGCGATTGGTGGTGCTGGTTCTCGTCCTTGTTGTGCCTGTGTTGTTAGTAGCTGCTGGAGTCGTCGCAGCAGCATGAGGAGCCTTCGATATAAGTCTCATGATACGGTTCGAAAATCGCTCGGCTATCTAAATGGTATGCAGGCTGAACCTGTGTAAGCGCCCTGGCTGAAACGGCCTTCAAGTCCAATGTGTGTGCAGCTCCAGGAGTGAGCTAGAAAAGCGAAACAGAACGGTTCATAGACACGCGCCAGATTGCCGGCCTACGGGGATCATTCAAGTCTGCCTCGTTCAATACAGCAGAGCAGCGACAGCCGTCGCAGCGAGTGGATCGAAGATGATCAGCCCCATGAGTTTCGATTCGCACGTCGATCATGACCGGAGCTGCGGAATCTTAGGCTTGAGAGTAGGCTCAGGGGCCAGCGCGACAGAACGCTGCCCAAAGGCAATGATGGGTTTGCCCTGAGATCATTGGCACACTCAGTTGCGCAGCAAAGGAATGGCAACAAGATGCTGGAGGTCCCTGACATTGGCAAAACTTGGCTGATCAGGCTTGGGGCCCTGGATGGGGGGGACTTGGGGTCGAAAGCGAGTCAGTGTCTCCGACGTTATCATTGCGGGCCCGCATGTTGTCCACAGGTAGCATCAACACGAAACGGCTGCCAGACGGAAGCTTGAGATTAAACTACAGATCCACTCCTTCCAGCACGCAGGGCAATGGGTTCGACGAATGTCGTGCTTGTTCCGAGCAAACAGATCTGCAACGACACTTTCAGGAAGACTTCGAATTGGGGAACGACAAACTTTGCCAAATCATGTTGGTGCTTGTGTGGGGTTCCCTCATATAGTGAGATGAGATGAAAGGACGAAGAGGAATAGAAGCCCAGAACTTCGGGGTCGTCGAAGAAGCCTTCCTAAGGTCCTAAACAGAGTATCTATTTTGAGTCTGCGCTGGGGTTCCTCAGTTGGGAGGCTGCCACCCGTTAGTGTGGCTCCTTCCTTCCAGTTTGGGAGGTTGTGTCGGCCAGAGATCTAGAAGATCCAGGGAGGCTTATCTGAGGTTTCCCCAGTTTGACCGACACCTAGAAACTTCAGAGGTCCTGGAAAACGCTTTTCTAAATGCAGAGACACCTGGTAGCCCGTCCGTCTTCAAGTCCCGGCCTCGGTGGCTGCCTCTATCTTACAACAACGCCTCTTAGGGTCTTGTTGGAATCGCCCTGAAGTCCTGCCAAGGGGGCGTACATCTGGCCCTGCGGTCGCGAAAGGCAGCCCCCACAGCCAGTCGACCAAGTCTGTGTCGACGTTGCGATCGCCGAAACAGCCACTTGGCCTGTTGGATGTGAAGGGCTACTCCGAAGCTTGAAGGCGTTACGCTGTGACGGGTTCGTCCCAGCACTCAGCGGCTTTCAGAGCATCTGCTTTTGTTTCTTTTAGAAGCCAGGGCTCGGGCCGACGGAGAGTCACCACTGCCAAACTGCCGCCAGACGATAGCTGCAACCATTCTCCACCGAAGCTGGGATTGCCGCCACCACCACCACCACCACCACCACCACCACCTCCACCGCCATCATCACTGACATCGCCACGACTACTATCGGCACCGCTTTTCGTCAAGCTGCAGCGATGATTTGTTCGAGACCTGGATGCTCCATGCGACTTCGGCTACCCGAGTTTATCACGAAGCACAAAGGCGAGGTGGAAAGTTTTGGCTTCTGTTTTCAGCTTGTGCTCAAGGAATTGGTCTGCGGCCTCCACACCTACGTGTCGAGCTCAGTAGACGAGCTTGACCAGGACTGAGGCCCTTGTCAAGTATCAAGGAGCTTCATCTAAACAGCAGTAGCCGCTTCGTTTCAGGAAAGACTTGGGAAGGTTTGGGTTCTTCGAGCGTATGCTCTTCGAGCCTTTCTCGAACCCCTCAACCCCACACAAATGCCAGCAGAGTTGCGAGGGAGGCTGTCGTTTCGATGACGTCGGCACTCCAAGCGATGCGTGTCCGCGCAGATTTGTCGCAAGTGTTCCAGAACCTTATCAGTTCAACTTGAAGAAATGCGGCCCAGGCTGCGTGAGCCATTACCGGGACCAAGACCAGCAAGAGATTCGGACGACGAAACCCTCGAGGCCCTCAACGACGCTGGTGATGTAGAACATCAGGGTTCAAAACAGGTGTGGTTCCAGCAGCAATACGAGCAGCAGCAAGAAGAAGAAGCAGTAGCAGCAGTGATCATCGTCGTGTTTTGACCCCAAAGCTTGTCGAAGGTTTTGAATTGCAAGTCGTAGATGTGTCCTGGAACTCAGCCCCTATTGAATAGGGCCTATTCGTGCTGCTGGGTGAACAGACCTATAACTACCTGACAAGCTCGGATGTGGTTCATGACATGCTGTTCCGAGTACGGTGCCTAACAGACGACGAGACAGTAACCACCTCTGCACTCAGAAAGCAGCTGCTTGTCAACAGCTGCATCCCTATCCGCAAATTCAGCCCTGTTGATCCCTGTTGGGTACGCGGCGTAGCGGAGGTGTTGCGACAAGCTATGTCCCACAACCAGGCGAAGGTCGCAATTGGACAGGTCGCGCGTCGGTTGTGTTGTGCTTCAGACATGATGAACTGGGCAAGCCTTGAGAAACCTGGTATTGCATAGCAACAACAGGGCACGAACGCCCAAGCTTAAAAGGCCAGGTCCGAGATTTCGCACCTTGTCAAAGCCGAAAACCTCCAGGCACCGATGCCTCTGACGCTGGATCGTCCCAGGAGCATGCCGGCTGTTTGACTTGGATGTTTCGGAAATTTGTAGGTGGAGGGCTTCTGGTCGCTTCTTTCGGAAGCTGCCCAGAAGCTGCCGACGGCCAAGACCACTGGGTTCTATTTCGTTGAGGTCGGCACATCCCAGCCTCAGGGGATATCCATGAAAAGCTCCCCTACAAAATGCTAGCCCCGTTCTTGTGTCCAGCTACCCAGACAAGCGCAATCATCGTGCAGTGACTTCCGCTCATGTATTGAATTGACGGAACCCCAGATACAGCTGCACTTGCGCCCCGGGAAGAGCTGGTACGTCCTGCGTACCGGCTATGTCAACCGTTCTGTAGGCCATGATAGCCGACGTGACTTGCATCCCTGAGTTCTGAAGCCAACCCGAAGCCAATGTTCCAGGACCACTCCGGCACAACAGCCAACTCCGCCTTTCCTTCGAGGAGCCCGCCCTTTCCCCCTGAGCTCCAACCCGCTCCCCCGACAATCCGAAGACTACTGCTCACATAATGATGACCATAAGGATGCTAGCGTTGGTCACAGTGCAGTAGTACTGCAGTCGCCGGTGGTAGTGAAAGTGATTATTGTCTCGATTGTTTCTACATAGCTGTTCTCTCAGAAGGCCCCGACGCGGCTGTGGAAGGTCCACAATTCTCTGGGTCTCTGCATGACCCACCCAGAGCTTCTAGGCGAAATTTTCTATGGTGTGTGCAGAATCAGCGTAGAACCCACGACGCTGCTTGTAGCAGCCTTCGTCTTCACGAAGAGGTGTGTCGGCAAACTTTGCTGCATTAGCTTGTTTCTGCCTTGGACACTTACCTCCCACAGTTCATTTTCTTCGCGATTCAGCTGCTTCTTAGTTTCGCAACTGGGAAGCGATCCCGAGCAATGCCACCAGATACTGAAACAGCATAGGTACCATGAAGCCTGACCTCTCCGAGAAACCGAAGCTCCGAATCCCAATCCTTGAACCCTTCATGCTAATTGCTGAACAAACATGTATGTATATATATATATATACTATTCACATGTATGTACATACTGCTATACTTACATGTACAGACACCTTGTGCACGTGAGCCGTCTTGTTATGCGCCGAAGCAGACACGACCGTCCCAGCAGGCGTGGAGCCGATCTCCCCTGGTGGCACCTTCAAGGCGCAGCGAGCGGCGCAGGGCCTGATCGGTAAAGGGACAACAGGGACGCGAAGTCTTGCGAGTTGCGTCTTGATGTTTCTCGGGACTCTGGGAGTCGCGCTCTGTTTGTTTTGAGTTTGGGGTTTAAGACCAGAAGGTTTCATCTTAGAGACTGAAGGTTCAGATCACGGTGGTTCACAGCTTCCCAAGCGCTGGTGTTTGTGTTGAACTCGATTCAGTCGCCCAAGTTTCTGGCCTTAGGGCTTGGCATCATTGTGCGTCTCGCTGCGCTCGCGCCCTGCCCACAAGCCCGTAGATTGCCAACATCTGGAATCCAAGGACCATGAGGCTCTAGAACCTTTCGGCATTGGAGCCAGGGAAAAAGGATTTTGCGCACCGCCGCACCCACCTTCGCACAGGCAAGGCCGCCATACAACTTGCAGCAAAACATAGCATTGAAAGCAGGCCTAGATTTGCCAGACAAGCAGTGGTGCAATGCAAAACAGGATTTACCACATCGGAAACCAAACATAGGCGGGATGCATACGAAGAGAACTGAAGACTTCGGTAGCTTCGAGGGGGATTGTCATGGCATCACGAGTAAAGGAGGCTCGTCGAGCGGATGCAATTGCTGCCGGTTCACGACCTACTTATCTTAATCAGGAGCCGCACTACCCAGGCGGTCCAGGAACTAAAGGAAGCCTTTACAATGTTCTTGTCCCTTCCCGTCAGGCCGGCAAGACCAATCCTTTTCAAGGAGCAACCACGATTGTGGGGCAGGTGTGAGTACGTGTGTGTCCGTGTGCGTGCGTCTCAGGCTTGCTTTAGTAAATGGGCGCTTTAAGTGCCTAAACCAGCAGTCGCTGGGGATGCAAAAATCCTCCACAAGAAAGTTAGTTATTTTGCAGTTCCAAATGCTTCGACAGTTTCGTTGAATCTGCCTGGGGTTAATGAGGCAAATTCCGACGGTACGATTGTCTCCTAGTAACAGTCCTAGTCTACGTACATTACTTGCTCAGGACGCTGAACCCCCGTTGCAACCACGGGCCATAGCTCGGTCCTCATGAAATGAAATATGGAGTAATGAGCCGAAAGACCTCTGCAGCGGACTTATCCACCTGCGTAAGAAAAACCTGAATCAAACTCACTCCCACAGAACGGCAAACCCGGGAGGACAGTCGAAGTCCTGGTACTGCCTTGTCGCCGCTCAGTATCATCGGAATGTCAGGTCGACTAGATCTGTAGAAAGGGGTCTGCTTGTGTTTCCTCCTTTTCGCCTATCTGTCTCGTTCCGGGTATTGATTCGTCATAGTGTTTCCCTGCCATTCCTTCCGCTGCTGCTGCTGCTACTACTACTACTGCTGCGGCTACTGCTGCTGCTGCTACTACTGCTACTCCGGCTAACTACCACTGCTACAACGGCCACGGCCACTAACCTACCACCTCCACCACCGCCACCACCACCAGTACCACTACGAACCACGACGACTACGACTACGACCGCGACTACGACGACTACTGCTCCTGCTGCTCCTACTACTACCACTACTACTACTACTACTACTACTACTACTACTACTACTACTACTACTACTACTACTACTACTACTACTACTACTACTACTACTACTGTTGTTTCTACTACTACTACTACTACGACGACGACGACTACTACAAGGACGTCAACTACTGTACGGTACTGCTTCTACTGCGACTCTCTTGCAAGTACAGCTGCGCTGCTCATGGCTATGAGTAGCACTACTAGTATGAGTAGCAATACTATTCAGAGGTTTTTGCAAGCATGCTATTGCAGGTTCTTCGCAGCATCCATCTCGTTATTGGTCACTAGTATGACGTACTATTCATGGTCGGCATGGCTATGTTGCTGGCGAGTGTCCAAGGCTTCGGTGAGTCAGTTTTTCGTTGGAAGCTGCAGAGTTCAACGGACGGACATTCTGTAAGTGTGATGTGAATCCCTGACATGAAGCACACTGCTGGCCTATCCTCAGCTCAAGTTGGAGCTCAGGATAACGTTGACAGCGTCTCGGTTGCAGAATAGTCGAAGGTGACCCTCGCTGTCTTACATCCATGAGGCACAAGCGAAGGTCTCTGCACCTTGACGCATGGTCCGTCGTACAAACCGAGTGGAAGATCCTTCTACAGGGAGCGTCGCTGCCATTTAGGGTTCTGTTCGAAGCCACAAGGTGTTGCGACTGTTCCCTCTAGGTTATGCCATTGAACACAAGATCAAGTGCAAAGCGACTGCGGACTTCTTGACCAAAGGCTCGAGAAGCTGCGAGTTCCTGTGGTTGGGCTTCCAGAGTGAGCTTGGCATATCCCTGAGGCATACATGGTTCTGTGTTTGAGCGATTTACAGCCGGGGGCTGTTGGTTTCCCTTTGGTGCCTTAAAGGCCGAGCTGACCAAACGGGCATCCAACTAGGTAACATCTTACGAAGGCCCTTTCGCGACTGCTGCGCCGCATGTTCTTGCAGTTTTATTCTGGGTGCTCCACGAGGACACTGCCAAAACCCTGTACACCTTGCAGCACGAGACTGGATGACTGAATGCACGCAGTGTGCGTTAGTTTCTTAATGTTTGCGCTCGAGAACTTACTGGTGGCACATCGTTATGAGCTTCTTCGACCCCTGCACGAACCCTGGAGACTCTTCAGAAGCAAGATGTCAAGCGACGTTAAATCATAATGCAGGCGCCGAAACTTTCGCAGTGGCCGTGTAACGGAAGTGCATACACATGATATGATTGCATATATATATATATATATACATATATGTATATATATATATACACACACATACCTATAGATACACACAAAGCAGCACCCCGCTGGCAACCTCCAAAATACACTCGGAGATTCTCCGAGCAATCTCCATGCACTTGGTGAGGCAGCAGCTGCCCACGACGACAGCTCCGGATTGCGCCTGGCCTAGCTTACGTGCATCGTGCATCGGATTCAGAGACAACGAGGAGGTGTGGACTCTCAGTTTTGTGAAAGGTCGAGAGTCTCCGGCCCAGGGATCAAGAAGTAAAGAACCCTACAGTGTGGTCTGGCTTGAATTTCGTTGCTGAGGTGCTTGATGCTGAAAAAACATTCCGACACTAAGGTGATAGGCGCAGAGCCTAAGAGGAGCGTGGTCGCAGTAGCTGTCGTAGTCTTATCCGTCTTAGCAGAAGCGTTGGCGGTAGTTGTCGCCCTAGTAGTGCTGGTAGTATGAGTCGTAAGAAGCCAGCATCGCTCAAATCCAATGTCTGGGTCCCAAAAAATCCATCTCGTCACAGGTTCATACGCTATCAGTTGGCAACAAAGCACTTTGGGAATTGCACACGTAAGACATCCTAGCCCACAGGTCCACATGCATTTGTGCGATGCCAGCACAGTTGAGCGAGCAGCCGGAAAAGCAATTGCTGCCCTCGTCGAGGACTCGAAGCTCGACGTGCTCTGTGAGAATGAGGGCATCCAGGGCATTCGGCGCTACATCAGGTGGGGGCGCAAGCCGTGATATCACAAAGCGGAATCGAAACCCGTGACCCGGCACTGCCGCCCATAATCCTCAACATCAAACCCTCACTCGTAAATTCCGCAGTGGCAGTTGAAAATCGCGCACGCACGTCTCTGTGTTCCTCGCAGGCATATCTGCAAGAACGACTTGGGGCTAAAGGCTGGCTCTGATAACATTGACTTACTGGTTGTGCCACCAGTGACTAGTGCTACATTGCTACATCTCCGCGGTAGTTGCACATGTCAATATTGAGCTTGTAATAGCGCGAGCTGGCCATGGTTTCAGCTTTGACAGACGAGGCTTGAAGCTGAAGCTGTGCAAGTCTTTTCTGTCCACTGCCCACTTCCTCGCTGGAAGCACTTCGGCGCTGATAGCGTTGCATTCCTTTTTCCCTACGCACCAACAGCCACTGCAGCCCTTCAACCAGAAAGCCCCGAACCGGCCAGGCGGACCTCTCACAGCAGCTGCGCCCGCGCAGCGAGCTTCCCAGCCTTCCGAGGCTTGAACAGTTTCGACCGGAAGATGCATTGGGCCCTCTGCTTCGATTTGGAGGTTCGGAGTTCAAGGCTGATGAGCTGGGTTGTAGATTAATCGTCTGCAGGCAGCTGCAAAAGATGGTTGAACCGCAAAGGAAGTAAACAAGCGCAAGTTGAGACGCAGAAAGGCTTGCAGGTTACGAGATCGCATGTTTGCTCGGGACTCTCTGACTGTGTGGGTCGATCCTTCTGTTGCTTTTGCAAGGGTTCCGTTGCAACGAAGCAGAAATGATCGAAGTACGCGTCATCTGATAGTCTGATACATTGCCTGTGTGAGCTACGAAAGACCCATCCTATGGGTGGGAACATGCCGATGGACCAACACCCAGCAGAAACCATAAGGAAGCTCATAATCGTCCGGCGACAGGTGACAGCAACAAACTGGTAACATGAAATACGAGACTGTTGAGAAGAAGTCATGACAGTTGGTACAACAGCAGCTGCGCAAAGTTACTGCCCAGCTAGTGGCTGGAAGTGGTAGGTAGTCGTCGTTGCGGTCGCAGTAGGCGCAGTGGTCGTGGCAACCAGGCTCATGGCCAGGATGGTGATCATCTCATGACCGCTTTCACAATCGTCATCATGTCCACAATCTTCGTCAATCAGACCATCAAATGCTTTCTAGGGTTTGAATTGAACTTCTCATTACAACCCTGAAATCGGCTCAGGCCCTCGCAACCCCCTCCCACAGCTCCTTACTACCGTCCGAAACCCTAATGCTCTAGATGCGAACCTTCCACTTATGCCTTCAGGTGCGGACCGAAGACAAGAATCGCACCCCCTGGGGCGGAGGATACTCGGAGATCGTGAATTTCTTTAAGGATTGTAATTTGACGTACTCGTAGTACGGCACTACCCTTTGGAATGTGAATTCGTGGAACAGCGGAGATGTGTATCCTTCACGGTATGACATATCTGGGCAGCATGCAGGGAGAATGCGCCAAGGTAGCCCATCGGTCGCAGACACGAAGCAGTCCGAAGTCCTTCGTAGTAACCGCAACACATCTTCTGCTCATTTCATGGCTCTGCACTGCCACAATTCATCCTCCTCGCACCTCGGCACCTCCAGTTACCCATTGGGCCCTACTGTCTTGTCCATAGCCACTGAGGGAAAGTCTGGTCTCAAATAGTGCACACGACATGCGTGACTCATGTCAGGAATCTCGCACAGTCTCCACCGTCTACGCTGCCATGGCGGCCCGACGGAAGAAGATTCCGCAAGCACCAAAGTCGCTGCCTTACATCTGTCGTCACCCCGGAGTCCGCGACGGTCTGCTCGTCTGCCCGTGCGGCACATGCACGCACATATTTGTGTGTGTATATATATATATGTGTATATACACATACGGTGACAGACAAGCGGACAGTAAGCTCTCTTATGTTTGCAGCTTTGGGTAGCAATGACCAACACTTGCTGCGCTTGTCAACCTGAACACGCTTCATTCCTGGGGTCTATGGCTGATTCCTGAGGTGTCTTCTCCCGGTGCCCCCGATTCCTGGTGCCTTAGTGGAGTCAGCAACTCAGAGGCAGATCTGACTTGAGGCACATTCAGAGAATTGAATGATCGCTACCGCATGCTTAGCCTCCCGAAACCCATCTCTCTAGCCTCGGCCAACCCGACAGAATTGGATCCGGATCGCCAGGGTGGCAGAGAAGGAGGATGCCATGAACTTGGACTTACGAGGAATGAACCTTCTGGACGACGAGGCGGCAAGAGCCTGCAGAGCAAAATGCTTTAGTCAAGGCTTCGAAGTCCATCGAAGTCCAATGATGGGGAGGTTCGAAGATCGCCAGCCCTTAGGATTAGACTACGTATGATATGGTTTGCACCGGGCCAAGGCGGTTTTGCCTGCGGCTTTCAGAGGATTGAAGGGAATTTGAACGCAACAGCCGCGTCTACAGAAGCCCGCCTTGGTTTATCGATGCTTGTTGCTCGGAATTGTTATACAGAAGTAGCAATACTGGTGATGACAGTCCAGCGACAATAGTAGTTCTGCCAGCAGCCGGTAGCAGCACTACTTGTACTGATTGCTGTAGTTCGTTCTGCAGAGAGCATTTGCAGCATGCCTTTTTCAATGCATGCCCACACCCCAGGGTAAAACACCCAATCTGCTTGAGGGCTCAGCAGGATTTCGAAGACCCGCATGTTGTTTGCAGTGCAGGCAGTCCCAATCGTTGCTGGCTTGCGTGTGCAAGACTGCTCCTTCAAGGCCTGAGCCAGCTCCAGGGTTCGAAGGAAGTACGGTCTTCAATGACTCGAAGTCACGACTGCCTATGGTGAAGAAGTACGGGCGATGGTAATCATGACCATGATGGCACGAATCATAGCGACGACATTGAACAGCATGAGCATGTTTCTCGTTGTCGCGGAAGCTGCTGTCACTGCCGTGGCAGCGGCCGCGCTGCTGAGATGGTACCGAGGAAATAGAGGGGCAGGAGTATGTAGTACAGGAGCGGCTAACCCAGCAACCCTTCAGGCCGTAAAGTTGAGGGCTGTAAACGGGCCGAAAGCCCGACCCCTGAAAAGCTCTGCCAGACCATGTTGATCTCTGGGAATCCGCAGCTCACCGATGCCTTCTACGAGCCGCCGCCGGGTGGCAGTAGGTTCAGATACCGGGTTGCCAAAACGCCACTTGCATGTTGATGTGCCGGATCCCAACTTGATATAAGCAAATACGGGTCGTAGTTCTGGTGGCATAGGTGGCGGCAGTCTGCTCAAGTAGGGGAAAGAAGAAGCTGCCACAATCACATGTCCCGCGTGAACGGCGTGCTGGTACGACATCTCTGTAAAGCTCAAAAAGAGCCTTCGCACCGCGGTCAAAACCCCAGAGTCTGCCCCCGAACAATCTCCCGCGACGGTTCTCTGCAAGGCTCTTGAAGCTCGCTTGTGAGAGATCAATGAGCGCCGCTCCAAGAGTGCTCAAAATTCAGCATTTGCATCGCTGCGGCTAATGACACGACACAGTCGAGTCGAAAAGCTACTTCTTGCGCATGCTCATCAGCTTTAAGATGTCATGTCTCAGCGACTTCGCGCTTGCAATCTCCCCAGGCTGAAGACGTATCTTCCCATGTTGCAAAGGAGAGACTGAGACGATCTTTCATTGTCTCGAGTTGTGAGTTGTAACTCAAGACCCAAGGCTTACTGGTCTTGGACCTTTCCGGCTCTGCACACATGGGCGAGAAGTCCATCAGCCGTCTGGCCGATGCTTTTGGGCTGCACATATCCCATTGTCGGCCCGTGGGTCCGGCTGAGAGATTGCATTGCTGGGTCCAGAAGCTCCAGAAGCAGAACTTAGACTTGACGTATCGCTGGAGTTGTCTGCGAAGCAAGGCTCTGCCGCGCGCGCTGATACGTCTCAGAGTTCTGAAGCTGCTTGTCAGCACGGTCGAGATTGTGCAGCAGTGGCAAGAATTCGTCTTCTTCACGTTCGCTCACACGCATCATGTTGAGGATCAGCAGAATCATCACTATCACGATCATCGTCCGCAGTGCTATGACAAGCTGTCCAACAGGATCGCTGTCACCTCCAAGCAGCAGAGTTCCGAGTGGCAGCGGCTGCAGCATGCTGCCGGTGTTACTGCCGATGCTGCCGTGTTGTTGTTCCTTGTTTGTGGCTGTACCTGTACTCTGTTGTTGTGGCAGTTGCTGCTGCGGTTCCTGCTGTTGCTGTTCTCTCGAAGGGTAAGGAAGCACTGGCAGCATGGTCGTCATCATTGCATGGATGCACTGCTAACATGGACGGAACCATGGTTAGGGCATGGATGCACTGGTATCAGGGCTATGCATAGCCCTATTCCTCAACCCTCGCCCCACCCCGTCGGCTCGGCAGGCACCTTGGACGCCCGAAACGTCGAACAATGTGGGATTGCTATCGGCGAGTGTTTTGCAATCACCGCCGCTTATGCCCGGATTGCTCTCGCTTCCTCCAAGGCTCGATGGGACTCGGTGTGAGCAGTCATCCTGGCACGTGCTCCTGGAGGGCATGCGGTGCTTGACATACCTGCAGGACACCTGAACCCGTGGCACTGCATCTAGCCACTTGAGATACGCAGTAAAGCCCGGTGCAGGTGCAGCTGCAGCAGTTCCACAGCAGTACAACAGTGTTGATTCACGTTTTTTGTCTTTGGTGGGGTTCCGTCGTCGTCGTCGTCAAATTTGCTACGAAGGGATCACAAACAGCTTCGCGGTGCATTGGCTGCGTCAGTAGCAGTAACCAGCATAAAAGAGAAGGAGTGAATGGTAGTAGTTACTGCTGTTTCTGTCGTCCTGAGTCTTTTGCGATCATGGCTTCTTTTCCACAGTGTTGCCTTGTTGTTTCTGCTTCTGCCGATCTCAATTGCGATATCCGAAAAACCCTCTGTGAAGTTACCAGGAGCTGGGTCTCGCGGACATGAGCATCGGTCGCTTGCCGAGCATGCGATTCAGAATGTGTCTTGATCTCGCCACTTCAGGGTAGTTCTCACGATTTGTCATGTCAAGGTCGTCGCTCGCAGGACGTGCCCTGCCTTGTTGGTGAACTACCAGCTTCATTGCGTCTTGTTTGCACCAAGACTCCGATAAAGCCGACATGCTCGAGCCGTCGATGCCTCCCCGGTACACCTAAGGCCCCACCTCAAGAAGCTGAACTTGAGCGGCAACTTCTTCAGCTTCGAAGGTTCGGAACCCTTGTAATACAGCAGCTCAGTGCATGTTCAAGATCCGTTGGCACGTGTGACCGGACAATTGCGACTGCGCTTCCCTGCACGAGTCGGCACGCATGATTGTGGAAACCTCTCTCCGTGCCAAGATGCGGTAGCCATGACGTACATAGTTAATGCACCGGCCTGGCTGATGCTCTTCAGGGATTTGATTCCTAGCAACAATGCAACAACGACGACGACGATCACCAGCAAGAACAAGAACACGACCAAAAGCAAACAGCAAACTACAACCAGGAACCCGCAACGAACAACCTACAACGACAACCACAACCAAGGCCATAACGACAAGGACGACAGCTGTACTTTTCACTTATAGCTTTCACTCTAAATATATACAGTATTGTTATGACCATCAACGTCGCCAGATAAATGGGCAGGGCATATTACATCTTTGACTTCGCCAGGCTCTCAAGTCTTCCTGTGTCCTCAAACCGGCAAGAGACTGATGTTCGTGGGTCTAAAGTCTGAGGGCTACACCTGGACTCTGAGCTTCAGAACCTCACCTAAGCCCTCCAAACCCTCATTCACCTAAACCCCAAGAGGGCCTTGAACGCCTTATTGGCAGGTTGCCGTGTTTTGGCCCAGTCGGTGGAGGCCCACACGACCCTGGAACATCTGGATTTGAGACCGGGCCCCAGGAATGACCACAAGATGCTACCTATGAATATGTAATCAAAGAAGTCGTGGAGGTGTATCTATGCTTATCTATACACGCATAGGCATATCCGCGTGTATGTAATTCTGTGTGATGTATGTATGTGCATGTATGTATATGTATGCATATCTGTCTGTATGTATGTAATGAGTTGCTTTATCAGTGTTCGTCTTGTGCATATGCCGAAGTTACTAGGATCATCATGTCGATGATTTTCAACACCACGACTGCTTGTGCCGCCACATCTTGCGTGTCAAGACAGTTACAACAAGCTGGTGTGGCTGAATGACCACTAACTAGACAATCCGTCACGACATTGCGACAAAATCACCCTCTCTCTCGTCTCCAAGGCTACAATGCCGGGGGTTTCATTTTGACCGAGAGCGGGGCGCTGCCATCGACTTCGGCGTCGAGCAGCCTTTTCAGTGTGGGGCCCTCGGCCTTTACAACCTAAGCAAGCGACCGACTACCACATCCCAGCAGTTGTGCCTACATGTATACCTGTATGTCTGCGCCGGTGGCCAAGCAGCCGAGTGGTTTGCTTGTGCCTTGTGCATAGCGGCATAACGTCGCATTGTCGACATTGTCTGAAGTGCTTAGAAACCTGTTTGCTCACGTGGTGGGTACTGACTAACGACCATGAACACAGACATGTATCGCAGCAGGTTGTGCAATTCTCATTTTGTGCCAACAATTGCTTCTGCGCTGTGTATCAGCCAATCAAGGTTCGGCCTTGGCCACTCACATTGCCACGAAGGGGTTTCTGGAGTTGACCCTGTGATGTCCTGCCTTGGCTACTGACTTTGTCCGCAAATCACTTTGTAAACTCAACCCGAAGCCGCATAAATCTTACTTGTTCTCCAGGTCGGGACTGCAGTCATGAATCGTATGTTACAGGTCGCTCAGCTTGGGCCGAACTGCTCCCCCTCTCATCAACTGCAGGCTTGCAACTTTCGAAACGACCCAACCCCATTTTTTGAATGTCCAGAAATTCCCTCACATTCCCACAGATGGTGTGCAGTAGTAGTTGAGACCGGCACGTCAGCATCCGTCTCGATCCTCGCCGCCAGAGCCTGCGAAGCGACAGCCGCTCTCAAGGGATCGCCGCGTGGGGCTCTCAAGCAACAGATGCTGACTACACTGCTTCTATTGATCGGTATTTCGGGCTTGACGACATTGCAAGAGAGTTTCAGATAGGGCTTGTCGAGAATCAAGGTCTCGTTCGAGGTTGCTGCTTGCTTCGTCAATGTCCTCACGAGAATATTGCTGGTTCTTGGATTTTTGAGGTGTTGAAGCTATCTGGCAGCTTGTTTCACAGGAGGAAGTCCGGTGCTTCGGACTGAGGTGAGTAGAAAATCGATCTTACTGGCAGCGCCACTGGAAACTGCTCTTGGATCCAGCCGAGTGGTCTACCCTTGTCCTGCCCATGGTCCCAATGAGTGCGAGGTTCAACCCCATCTCGCTCATTTGCGAGGTCGCCGGCAAATGTCAGTCACTCAAGTGCTTGAGACCTGGCACAACTAATGCAAATGTGGTTATCCGGCCTGCAATTGACCACTTCGCTAATGCGGGGCAGACCCAACCGCACTATGTGAGAATCGAGGAACAGCGGAACCTGAACCTGGTCGTTGGAATAAATAGCTTAAGGCTGCTAGCCGTCAACTGCTGCCGTGGTTGGTTTGGACTTACATGAACCACCACGTTCATCCTGTCTCTAGGCTTCGTGCGGATTAGGACCGTTCCGAGATTTGCCTCGCCGGTTTGTGCGCGAAAGCTCCAGGAAGCTGGCTGGCTGCCAGTTGAATTTCGACGAGGACCACTCGTCGAGCAACCTCATCACAGCCGCTATCGGCACACTAGAAGATCCGGATAGAATGTGCAAGTGCCTGTGAGTATTAGCAGCACATGACGCAGTAGTCGCATCATCACTAGCAGAGAGCAACTAGCAGTAGCAATAGCAAGAACAGCTCAGAGTAATTATCAGTGGCTGCAGTAGTAGTAGTCGCAGTCGCTGTCGCAATGGGAGCAGTAGGACCCGTAGGAGCGACGGTAGCGGTAGGAGCGGTAGCGGCAGTAGCAGTAGCAGCAGCAGCAGCAGCAGGAGGAGGAGGAGTAGTAGTAGTAGTAGTGGTAGTAGTAGTAGTAGTAGTAGTAGTAGTAGTAGTAGTAGTAGTAGTAGTACTAGTACTAGTAGTAGTGGTAGTGGTAGTGGTAGTAGTAGTAGTAGTAGTAGTAGTAGTAGTAGTAGTAGTAGTAGCAGTAGCAGTAGCAGTAGCAGTAGCAGTAGCAGTAGCAGTAGTAGTAGAAGAAGAAGTAGAAGTAATTGTAGCAGGGGGTAGTAGTAGAAGTAGTAGCAGTTGTTGTTGTTGTCGTAGTAGTAGTAGTAGTAGTAGTAGTAGTAGTAGTAGCAGTAGCAGTACCGGCAGAGGCATGGCTCCTTTCGGCAAAGTTGCTCCCCAAACAAAGATGAAGTTTAATGCCATACTACCCATGTATGTATTTGGAAATTGCGGCCGCCGAAGATGTCACATAGTTCTTCGGGCGGAGATGACTGCTGCAGAGAAATACTGAGACCAGTTTCTTCACGCTCGGCTTCCCTCCCCGGCCTCCCCTTTACGTGCACCTCGGGTACCATCCCGGACCAGGTTCATTAGTTCGGCTTCGCGTTTTCTTTGCTTCCCAGTCCCTGCGCAAGAAACTGGTCTCAGTATTTCTCTCCAGCAGTCATCTAAGTCCGAAGAACTACGTGACATCTTCGGAAAAGAGCGTGCATTCGTCACAGAGGGATGCGTCTGTCATTAGCTCAGATACTGCACTGCTGTTAAGCAAGCGGACGATGCAAATAAATTGACGTTTGATTCGTGGTTAAGTGGCTTTCAAAAGACCGGCCGACAACACTACCTGGATGTTCAATTCCTCGCTCTTCCGTGCTGTTGTCAACACCAACACTTCGATGTACTGTTCGTGTCTCACTGCTGTTGCGAAGGCGGCCGACATCAAGACTCGGATGTCTGATGCGTGCACTAATGCCGAGCGCATGACTTCGATGTCGTCGCAATCTTCCGTCTTAGGGTTCTGCTGCTGCTCATGTTCCGTGTCCAGTGTGTTTCTTCATCTAACCACGAAATCGCGGATGCGGGGGTTGTATGTGTACTTAACATGGAAAAATATATGTGTGCATATATACAAATATAGTAATATAGTATATATATATATATATATATATACACACACTGATATAATACTGATATATGTATATGTAACCATAACGCAAGTCCCACTGAAGCTAAGAAATGAAAACCAAACCCTGAACCCGAAACCCTATACCCTGAAGCCAGCTCCCCAATTGCCCAAATGCCGTTTGCCCACTCCGGCGCGTAGTATTTGGTAGTAGCAGTAGCAGTAGCAGCAGCAGCAGCAGCAGGAGTAGTAGTAGTAGCAGCAGCAGCAGTAGTAGCAGTACTAGTACTAGTTGTAGGCGCAGTACCTGTAGCACCCTAGTAGCAGCAGCACCAGCAGCAGCAGCATCAGCAGCAGTGGTGGCGGTGGCTGGTTAGCCCAAGTTTCGCCGGTTTGCTGTGCATGCAGTGATAGCTTTCAGTCAGCTGCCTCGGAGGACTTTATCTTGGAGGCAGGGTGCTGGGACCGCTGGGAGAACCTATTTCGAATCCCAGTCTGGTCCCGGAGCTTGCTGGGCGGGAGGGGAGGGGGGAAAGGAAGGGCTCTGTTGTGAATTTCAGCATTCAGCACTGGGATCCCTGAGGGCCTGCATTCTATTTGCATGCTGATGCACAAGATCATGCAACGCTTGCCGCACGTCTCCGAAAGCCCCCCGCTGGTGGGGGCGATGCGCACCGGCACTGCTACTTCGGTGGACAGCAAGTGATTTGTCTTGTGCACATTCACTCTTGTCATGAGCTCCTCGCGTTCTAGGTGGACTTATGAGACTACTTGAAAGCTTCCAGCCTACCCTAGATCCACCCTGAGCCACCTGCAACCTGTAGAACCCCAAAGCTTAAATCACTAACCCCGAAGCTTCGTTGCCAGGATACTTTCCAGTTGAGCACCGGGAGCGGAATTGTGGATCTCGACCTTAGCAACAATGCCTTCCAGGCCGCACACAGACTGGGAGACAGGCGTCTGTCCTTCTCGCTGTCAACATGAAGTGGTGTTCATGACGAGTGTCTTCTGGTTAGAAGATAGCTATCCAATGCCCATGGATGCTAGTCATTACTTATTCTTCTCGGCAGTATTACACCAGGTTGTTATGCATAGTTCGCACTGTTGTCGTTCCCAGTTCCTATCTTCTACCACTGATACTTATGCTCATACAAGTACTAGCATGCAAACGACTATAATTGCAGCGCTAGCTGCCGTGTTGTATATCCTCCCAACCGAGTAGCCTCGTTCTGGGCGGATGCCCCAACCTCTCAACATCCAATCCAAATGTCCTGGGTTGTCACGGCCATGACGCGACGTCCTAACCACTAGACGATAAGGACTGTGCATCCAGTTTGGCAGGATGTTGTCAATGCGGTCGCTACACGGGCTCTTTCAAAGAAGCTCAACCTGATGTGAGTGAAGTATACCAAATATCCGTCAGCCCACGCAAAATCCCCCCCTTTGAATCCTGAAGCCTTAACCCTGCACATCTGTCGATGATCCTGGTCAGGGCGTCATGGGCGTGCGCTGTCTCCTCAGGCCGGGTTCCAAAAATTGGGGACCCGATGCAGGTGTGGAGTTTTGGGCGGAATCCTTAAGGGTAAGTAAGCATGTGAAACAAAGTTGTTCATGACAATAGTGACGGCAGTGCCGGCCGAAGCACAAGGACCTCGTGCTGGTCGTAGAATAAACGACAAACGGTGGCACCTGTCACAGCAGGGCAACACATGTGCAGCTCTGCTGCGATTACGGCTACGACCACCGCTGCTTTTGTTTTTCTGGTATTTCCCTTTGCTGCTGCGCGAATCTCATACCCTTGAGCCATCTTGAGCCCAATGGCTTTGTGTGTCACAGGCGTTCACTACCTCACTGCTTCTCAGTACATACTGATACCAGGGGGAGAGGTTAGCTTGAAAAGATGACCTCATTCAGTCGGCGCCCCTTTCAATCTGGAGCAGATGCTCCCTCTTTGCAGGATCCTGGTGACTCATCCAAGTTACTTGGCCGCGTTGGAGGGCCGTCGAAAGCTGGTGATATATCGATATTCCTTCGCAAGCCTTGCGCAGCTCCCACCATTATCGGGATTACATCGGCAGCCTGTAGTTATGCAGCTACATCGCCTATCCACACAGCTCGTGAGCACATGTCTTCAGCCAATGGTTTCGCAAGGTCTGCAGAACCTTCACCTGGTCCAGATACGCGAAGCACTGCCATCTTGCGTAGCAATACCATATGAAGCTTGGCTGAGAAGCAGCATTGCGCACTGTGCTCACCGACTATTGGAGCAACACTGGCTGCATGCCCGCTTTGTGGACTCAGTGCTCTGTTGCCGCATCGGCTCGAGGTAGAACTGTCGAGGTTTTTTCAATACACTTCATGGAACCATGAGGGTCCGACGGAGTCTGTGCCTTTGGGCCGGCATCCTCTTTGCTGCGTCCGCTGTGAGACACAGATCCGAGTCTGACTCTGAATTTGAGGACAGGGAGTTGCCGGGACACCTGTCCACACGTTGCCGAACCAGCAGTAACCTCGTCTGAACTTTTCTGCCAGGACTCACTGCCGGTGGATGTTGAAAGGGATGCTTGGTGGCATTCTGGCACATCACCTTCTCCTGGGACAGCGTGCGTTGGCATTTTGATGGCCGTGGCTCTTCTTTTGCGTGACAACTGCCGTGAAGCTCAATAGCGAAGGTCCACTGCAGCTGCAGTGGTGAACTCGGCTTGACGTGCCCATGTAGTGGATCGGCCATCCAGCTGCTCCTCGACTGCCGTGAATTTAATTTCAATTGCTCAGAAGGGAGTGTGGGAGCATGCCAGTTCCCAGCACCGACAGAATCAACACTGACACCACGATTGCTACTGCTCGCTGCAATGGTTCCTCCGTTTGCTACTCCGACACCAATGCCGACATCCACGACTGCTCAATCCCAAGCCCACAACCGCTGACAGCTTATGTTCTTTCTCGGGGTTTAGTCGCAGCAGATGAGAGAAAGGGTACACGTCTTGACGTTCCCCCGATTGCGGTTGCTTGTCATTGAACCCATTTCGAGCAAGCTCCCAGCCAATTCGCATGTCTGCCTGTCATGCAGTGCACGTATATTTGTACATGCATGCATGTGCATATGCGCATTTAGTTCGTGTGTGTGTGTGTATATATATATATATATATATATATATGTGCACGTAGGTGTACACGTATACCTATGTCGGCACATGTATATGTAGCTATATAAACACACACATATATATATAGATATGCATGCACACCTTTATACATCTATATACATCCCTACATCTATGTATTACTGTGTATATGCATATACATGTGTGCAGATATGTATGTGTGCATAAGTTATGCATATATGCATTTATTGGGTATGGATTCAGATACGGAGATGGGTGGATGGATGGATGGATGGATGGATGGACGGGCGGACGGGTGGACGGACGGATGGATGGATGAATGGACGGATTTATGGATTTATGGATTTATGGATGGATGGATGGATAAATGGATACATGCAATATTTTGTAAATGGATAGATGGATAAAGGATGGATGGACGAGAGAGTGTGTGTGTGTGTGTGTGCGGGTGCGCATGCATAGATAGTTGCTTGACGGATGGATGGCTGGCTGGCTGCGTAGGTGGGTGGGTGGGTGTTTTGGTGGGTTTGGGTTGTTTAACCCCCCTCGTCTTCCTGTGGTGTAGTAGTGGTGGGTTTTGGATTATGTAAGCTACCCTCTCCCCCGCGGTGTGGTGTGGTGTGCTGCGGTGGTGGGTTGTGGGTTTCAGCTTTAGTGTTTAACCCCGTGTGGTGTTGGGTTTAGGGTTTCCCCCTGTGGTGCCGTGGTGGGTTTTGGGCTATTAAACCCCCCCCTCCCCTCCCCTCCCCTCCCCTCCTGTGGTGGTGTGCTGTGTTGGTGGGTTGTGGGTTTCAGGAGTGTTTAATTTACCCCCTTCCCCTCCCTGTGGTGTGCTGGTGGGTTGGTTTTAGGGTTTAGGGTTTGCACCCGCATCCCCCCCTGTCGGCAGTGGGTTGTTCAGGGTATAGATGTATAGATATGAAAGGGTTTAGGGTTGAGGGTTAGCAGCTGGGCGCGGCGCAGACGGAAACCATGGCCAATCCAGGTGAGTGTCGCCATCTTGGACACGCCACGAAGTTGCACAGCTTCAAAATCCACGACACTCACGAAGGTTCGGGGGGCCCATCCTGTGACTGTTGGCACTTTTGAGACAACAGTGACGACACTTACGAGGATTTGGGGTGTATACCATGGGGGACCATACCACGGGGCGGGGCGGGGCTACTAACACGTGACACGGCACCATATACATATATATATATATATATATATATATCATTATGTGTATATATACATATATATATATATGTAGGTAGATAGATAGCCAGGTATATAAATAGATGGATAGACCGACGGATAGATCTTACATATCCGTGCACACACCGGAATATACGCACACATGCATATGGGGGGGAAGAGTCTGTAGCGGGGCCTGGCGGTATCTCGCATCGCTCGGCGAAAATACGCATCAATGAGCGTTCACACTGCGGAATCACATGATGACATGTCAGGCCACGCCATTCTATCTTCGAGCTATCGCTTCATACATGTGCGCCAAAGTGTATGCAAAACATACGTACTCACACAGATGCGTATGTGTGTATTGTATGTGTATGTGATACAGCGAACATAAAAGCCGCAGCATGCTGCTGCAAACCTCAGGTCCCAACGTCAGAAGCATCGCGCAACCAGACTCAACCATCGCCAAAAAGTTCGCGCGCGTAAGGCGGCTTGGCTAAGTTGGAGTTTTGAAGACATGTCTCGGTGGCTGAGAGTCGATGATGAAGGCTCACCCTTGGCGCAATTTGTATTTTCGGGCTCGTAAAGTGTCGGATGTGTCGCCGACAGAAAGTGAGTCATGTAAACACCCTGCATCTGTTCATTTTTGCAGATGCGTCGGCGGGATGCCAAGCGTGAGCCCGACGGCAACGAAGGCCATTCTGCTTCGAGTTGCTCGTGCCTTTTGTTGGCTGTACAGGCTCCCTCTTTCTGTCTTACGGCTTACGGGGCTGTGGTGCCGAACATTTTGAGGGTGAACGCTCTTGGCTACCAGCAGTCCAAAGTGGGGTCGAGACGGAGTCCGGCCCTTGAAGTTCTAGCACAGATGAGAGCTAGAACTGACGACTCGGTTTCCAACCCACCAGACCTTCCTCTTGGGTGGGGCAGGACGGGACCCGTAGTGCTGGTGGTCGACTTGAGGCTTGAATGAATGCAGCCCCCGAGAGCAGGGAGGAGCTGGAAGGGATGCTGCATGACCCTGGCATCCTGAGGCAAGATTAAAGCTTGGCGGACGGGCCAAAGCTACACGAGGAACGCGTGTTCTGCTCAAGAGGTTCACCGGGCATCTACAGTGGCCTTGGAGGCATCGCCAACCTCAGTCCAAGAAAGACACATAGACAGATGGTGCGAGAGAGCGCATGCGTGCAAGACGGCGCTGGACAGTTCCTGATGCGCCTCTCCGTAGTGACTGCGTCACCAGATTCCTCAGTGCCAGGTGGTGAAGAACCGGCAGAGGCAGAGACTGCAGACGCAAAAGAGGCTTGATGGCGGATGGAGCCTGCAACAGTTTTGAGGTTTGAACTTGAACGGTAGGCATCGAGCTGAGCCTTGTTTCTCGTACTGGCAGCTGCTTCGAGCAAAGTGATGTACTGTGTCCTGCGGAGCAGGGCCAATGCGTGGAGGAAGGCTTGACGCACACCCAGAATGCCCACATCTGAGACTTCTGCTGCTCCTCCCATCACTTGCTCGGCATTTGTATGTTCTCGATTGTCGATTGTAATTATGAGCTTTATCGCACAATTGCATGTCGTGTTCTTGTGCACACGCATGGCTAGCTGGCTAGCTAGGTAAGTAAATAGATAGACAGGTAGATAGGTAGACAGCTAGACAGCTAAAAGCTAGACAGGTGGATAGGTAGATAGACAGATAGGTAGGTAGATAGATAGATAGATGATATTATGATAGGTAGACAGATAGATAGGTCTTGGATGTACACATAAATACGTCCGTTCCGAGATTCAATAGATATGACTGAGAAATGACTGATAGGTTAAAACAAATAAGTAGATAACCAAACACAAGTACGTGTGCACATATAATGTATCTATATATATATATATGTATATGCATATACACAGATAAGCACTCGCAGTTGGATCTGTTTGTAGGTCTACCTGCCGATATGCATATCTATATCTTTGCCTTGCCGTGCAAAGATGTATTACTGCATGCACATGTATGTGTATACACACATGTACATATATGTATACACATACACACATGTGTTCTCTCTCTATCTCCTTCTCCCATTTTCTCAGTTCGTCTTTCTCAAGTTCTTTCTCTCTGTCGATTCCTTCTGAGGTGTGGATGCAAATCGGCCCGCTCGGATACTTGGCTCACGCTTGACTAGACCAGAACGGCACAGTGCGATTCAGGAGCCTTCCATTGCAAAGGCTAAAGCTGTGAGAGATTTCAACTCTTGCGGCATACAAGACGTCGGCATTGCTTTTTGGTTTTCGACTAGGATGGCTGGACTTATCTGAGCATTCAGACTAGGAATGTTCGTTGGGTTCCTCTTGGCCCTGGTGCTCTACGTGGAGTTTGTCGAAGTTGTCGCACCTCCGGAAGCTTGGCGCGGAGCTGGCTTGGTGTAGGAGTGTAGGATGTAAGACAGCATGTGGTTGGTTGCAGCATTGGCGACGGTGGCCGGACTGCAGCAAAGCTGCGTCTTTGGCATGTGGGGTGTGGAGAAACAGAACTGCAGGACATAACCCAGGCAGTCACGGCATCCTAGCAGGTCACTAGCATCTAGAAGTCTGAACCATTGCGCCTGCGAGCATGCGCCCGAAGATGCGTGTCAACTCGATTAAACAAGAGGTACCAAATGTAGCAAAATCCGAAGCCTTGACTCACGAGGTAGCGAATAGCCGGATAGCAGAGGCTTCCTGGCAGCAATGGGATAGGTCTTGGACACTTTGTAATCCGGCCTTGGGCCTGAGAAACCGTGGATTCGGAGGTGGCTGCATTAGGTGCGGCCTGCACACGGGCTTGGCATCACAAGTACACACTGAGTGCAAGAATCTTTGACCTGCCACAACGAGTCCGCTGTTCGTACACTCCATTGGCAGGCCAAATTTCGGACTCCTAAGTGGAGCCCTCAAACATGCCCGTCCGAAACCCGTAAGCCAGCCAAAACCCTCCGTTCAGGTTCCTGACGGCGCGGCTGCAGTAATCATGAAGCAGCTCTGGGGAATGGGCGCAGTCAGCTCGGGAATCAATGTGGGAGGCCAAGACAGTGGAAGCAGTGCGAGGTCTGTGGGGTAGGTTTAGCAGCTTAAGGGCCTAACGTAAGGGTTTACTTCCCTCTGGTTCGGGGTTTCAGGATGAGGAGTAGCACGACCGACGGCCCGCAAATGCTAGACTGCTAGACCATGCCAAGGATGAGGCAGGACGACTAGAGGGACTCCGATTGTTGACCAGCACCATAGGCCCAGAACGTGAAGTGGAGCTTTGGAAAGCAGGACGAACGACGGAGTAATCGGTTCCTCAGGAAGCTTTCGTGCCAGGTTCAGAATTTATGCAAGCCTTCACTGAGTCTGCAGCTCTCCATGACTGTTGCACATTCGAGCACCTTCAAAGTCCATCTGAGGCTTTGATCATCGCCCGGAGCTCAGATTGCACCGCTCGAGTCTTGACGATGTATCCGTCGAGAACTTAATTAATCTGCGGAGATCAGCCTGCAGCCCTCATAGACTCAAAACCGGGTGGATTGTGCCTGACAGGTCCCTTTGGCAGCTGTTGACTCCCAAAAAACAGTAGAGCTCCGAGCGTTCAGGTCTTGGGGCTGTTGAACTTCTACACCTATGCCGTCAGCACTGAGGAGGAGCAAATGGTGAGCTTTGGACAGTGTCAACGACTTCGTTGCTCGTATGCTGTTCCACTTGGTGATGACTATACTGAAAATACGATCTTTGCCGGTACTATGATGAGGATGAGGATGAGGAGGAGGAGGAGTCCAGGAGGAGAACGAGAGGCATGGAGCTGATGCGGAGAAGTTGGTGATGCTGCCTGTGAGTTGACCGTGATACTGATGCTGGCGGTGATGGTTATGATGACTATGACGATGATGATGATGAAGATAGTAGTGAAATGATTGGAAAAGCAATGCTCACGAGGAGGAGCTAGCATGATGATGATTGATGATTGTGCCGATGATGATGATTTCCGGTGGTGGTGGTGGTGGTGGTGGTGGTGGTGGTGGTGGTGGTGGTGGTGGTGGTGGTGGTGGTGGTGGTGGTGGTGGTGGCGGCGGCGGTGGTGGTGGTGGTGGCGGCGGCTGTGATGGTGATGGTCTTG